AAAGCAAGAGAAGAGATAGTACAGGGAGGGAGAGCTGCAATTTTACGTAAGGTGGCTGTTTTATATTTTCTAGCTGATAATTCCAATATCTAAATTGGTGGTTTAAGCATTTGTTTATTGTTTCAACTCTCAGTCATAGTAATAGTTTCATTGTCTATCTCATGATCTTTGATTATAAACTATTTGGTTGACCTAAATCTTCAGCAATTTTAGGGATCTCCCTAAGAGTTGTTTTTATTTTACTAACTAGTATCCACTGAGGGGGTTATCAAACCATGGCTTGTAGGCTGAATCTAGCCTACTTCCTGTTTTTATAATTAAAGTTTTATTGGTACAAAGTCATACCCAGTCATTTACATGTTGTCTATTGCTGCTTTCCTACTACAGCAGCAGAGTTGAAATAGTTATGACAAAGACTGTATGACACACAAAGCCTTAAATATTTACTATCTAGCTCTTGACAGAAAGTTTGTTGGCCCCAATCTACATAGATATACATAGGAACTAATAACGAAATTCAAACAGGCACTATTATATGCTGTTGTTGAGGCAAGTATAATTTGGTACACCCTTAATAGAGAGAAATACCTTTCAGTCAGTAACTAATTCTGACAAATGAGCCTGAGAAAATAACCAGAGAGGTATATAAAGACTTGTGTACTGGGCTGTTAATCAAAATATTATTTTTAATAGGAAAAAACTGGAAGCAATTAACATGTCCAACAATAAGGCAATAGATAATGATATATTCGTGGAAATGTATGGAAAGATGTGCAAGCAAAATAATCTAATTTTTGGTGAATTATTACCAATCTGAAAATGCAGCATATTAACAATATACTCAGTACAATCACAATTCTTTAATTGTGCATTCAAATACAACCCATCACCAAAAGCAATTATTTCTGGGTAGTAAAATTTAAAGAGTTTTTTACTTTTTTCTTTATACTTCTATATAAACTACATTATGTGTCTAAAATTATTAAATGTTCTAGAGTGTAAGAATAGTATCATTAATACATTTTAAAAGTCTCTCTTAGAAATATAGACTAAATTTACAGATAAAATGACTTGTCTGGGATGTGCTTCAAAATAATCCAGTAGGTGTACGTCTCAAACAAGACTGGCTATGTATTGATAATAGTTGAAGCTTGATTATTGGTACACTGGATTCATTACTTTCTTCACCCTTCTGTATGTTTGAAACTTTTAAATATGCAGTTAAAAAACCCTGTCTTGTCTTTTCAGAAACCTAGTAAATAGCCAATATATCAAAGTTGGTTTTAGCCTTCCTACAACTATCTGTGACACTTTATAAGAAACATATTGAACAACTATTGACTAAAAGAAGAAATTAAGAGAAAAATTAAAGATATCTTGAAATCCAAGCATGGTGGTACACACTTGTAGTCCCAGCTACTCAGGAGGCAGGAGGATTGCTTGAGCCCAGTAATTTGAGGATGTAATGTGCTATGACAGCACCTAACTAGCCACCGCACTCCAGCCTGGTCAACATAGCAAGTCTTTTTTCTCTCTCTTTCTCTCCCTCTCTTTCCTATCTCTATGCACACATAAATAAATCTTGAGGCAAACAAAAATTGAAACACAACATACCAAGACTTATGGGATGCCTCAAAGACAGTTTAATGAAGGAAGTTTATAGCATTAAATGCCTGCATTAAAAAAGATCTCAAATAAACAATCAACATTACACCTTACGAAACTAGAAAAAGAACAAACTAAACCGAAAGTTAATAGAAGGGAGGAAATAAAGATCAGAGCAGAAATACATGAAATAGAGACTAGGAAAATAGAAAAAAGCAACAAAACCAAGAGTTAGTTTTTTGAAAAGCTAAACAAAATTGACAAACCCTTAGCTAGACTTACTAAGAGAAAAAGAGGAAAAACTCACCACACAAGGACACTAGAAGAAAACTATAGGCCAATGTTCCTGATGAATATAGAGGCAAAAATCCTCAACAAAATACTAGCAAACTATATTCAACTGTGCATTAAAAGAATCATTCACCATGATAAAGTGGGACTTATCCCTGGGTTGCAAGGATGTTTGAACATACACAAATCAATCTGATTCAGCATAGTAACAAAATGAAGCAGAAAGACCATGATCATTGCAATAGTTGAAGAAAAAATTTGACAAAATTTAACACCCTTTCATGATAAAACTCTAAAAAAAAATGGGTGAAGGAATGTTCCTCAACACAATAAAGGACATATATGACAAGCCCACAGCTAACTGTAGTTTTTGGCCGCAAGAGGAAAAGACAAAGTAGGGCAAAACAACGTGGCTTTATTGAGCGCTCCTGGGTGAGGTTCACAAGTTCCAAGAGGGGGTGTCTGGGAAGTCATGCCGGTTTCAAAGGGGTGAAGGCTTTTATGCTCTGAGGCAGGCTGGGAACTTTTGGCGGGAAGAGCTGGGAACTTTCCATTGTGACCTTTGGTGGTCATTGAGAAATAGGGGAATCCAGGAACCGAAACTTTCTTATCCAGGTGGACATCCAGGTGTGGTTGTTCTCAACAGGGGTGTCTGGTCTGGTGAGCCCCTTTTTTATCTAGGGAGGGGAGAGGGGCCCACCACCAGCCTTACATTAACATCATACTAAATAGTGAAAAGTTGAAAGCTTTTCCCTTAAGATCAAGAACAAAGTGATAAGATTTATTAGCATGATTTACTCATCCTACAATGTACATGTGTATCAAAACATCACATTATATCCCATGAATATATACAATTATTTGCCAAATTAAAATAAAAAAAAAATTTAAAAGAATATTTGTTCTTGGCTTCCGGTTCCTGACACAAGATCTTCTGGTGACACTGGTAATCACCAGAGGGAAAAGAATGTCTTTTTATATGCTAATGATACAACTGGTGGCTGTGGGCCTCTAGATAGCTTCCACCAGGAAGAGAGATGTTATTCCCTCAGTATTTCAGGGTAAGGAGAGGACAGAAATAGAGCATAAAGAATGTGACTGATAACTGGCCTCTGAGTTCTCCCTCCTGGACCTTTCATTGTTTGTACTAGCTTTAACCTTTGAAAGTCCATCAGGATCCACTGCAAGTTTTTTCTGAGTTTCCTTTTTGGGCAGTTCTATTTATAAAGATACTTCATGATTTTTCTTAGAGGTCCTTCAAAGAAAGGGAAATTTTTGTTTGTGTGAACAAAATTCATTCTATCTTGCAATACATATGGGCCTTCAAGTCCAAATACTTTATGGGGCATTATCTTATTTTCTGTACACCTGGGCATCTTTTGCTATTTCATCCAACCAAGAATTCATCATTACTTATCACTTTTCCCAACCACATTTTAAAAATACTAAAGCAACAAAAGGAAAACATAATGAATTATCTAGCTATAATACTGAAACAGTCATTCTTCATTCTTCTTACTGCACTGCCCAAATAGTTCATCATTTTCCAAGAAGGTATAAAAGAAGAAACCATCTCTGTAGTCTGCTTTTAGCTTTCATTGAAGAGTGGAGAACTCAAAATTTTTCACTTTCTGCTCATGAGAAGGAAATATATAGAGGATGTTTCCCAGTTTTCAGATAAATCAAAAGACAAAGACAGCACCACTCTAGAGTCTCATGATGATTAACGATTGTATAACATGAGTGATCATCTCAGCCTGAGTCTTCAAAAATGACCATATCCTAGAATTTTCTCAAACTCAAGAATCAATATTTCTGAGCACCAAAAGGAAAGATGGTATTTTCATCCAGTTGGTCATGCAACATAAAGGATTTCATCACATAGTATTTTCCAACAAGAACATGGATGATCTCATTTTGCTAAAAGGATGTGACAGCATTACCTTTTATGATGTGAGTCAAAATTTACTTTCCAGAAAGGTTTGCAGGCTAAGTTTCTATTATAATTTCTAATTTAAAAAAATTGAAGTACCCACTGGACCAAGATGGTTAAATGGTGACAAAGTTTACCCATTTACTGAGGGGTAAGTATTATACTATTTTCAGGAAAATAAACCTTGCTTCAGAGACAGCTCAAAAAAGGGGGCAGTATAAAATACTATATATCAAAACCCAATTTTAAAAATATACCAATTTATAAAAACAAGGTTCTTAAAAACTTGACAAAATTCAGCCTTTTGTATTTTACCCTCGGCTCACCTCATTTTACCTTAGCTTTATGATCACTCAGGCTTTCTTCATTTCCTCTGCTTCAGGTTAACCCCTTCATATGTGATCTTGGTCCTAACTCTTTCACGATTTTTTGCCCACAAATAAATGTAATGTGCCCACGACTGAGAAAAAATAACCAACTACTCTCAACCGTATGATTTCCTCAATCAACTTCTCTCTCCTAGCCAGTAGCATCCTTCTAGAAAAGGGGACAATGCACTAAATGGACACACTTCTCAACTGTTTAATTATTCAAGCCATTGCATTTAAGCATGTATGTCCTCTCCTCCTTTGCTCTAACAAAATATTTCCCCTAAAGTTACTAATGGCCTAGTTGCAAATCTAACGGTGATAATTTTTTTTTCAACTGTAAAGAAAGGTTAAAACATTATTATATGTTCTAACTCTACAGTATTTTAAACATTACTTATAAAACCATTACAGAAAAAATAATTTAAAATATAAAACCATAGGAAATATAATCTCCAATAATTATAAACTTAAAATATGTTTATTATGTGTCAAATACTGTTCTAATTATCAGATATATATTAAATCTTTTGATCCTCTCAATAACCTTGAGGTAGATTATTATTATTCCTTTTTTACATGTAAGGAAACAGGCAATGAGATGTTAAGTTACTTATCCAAAGTTACATGTTGGCAGACCCAAGATCTGAATTCACAATTTAGTTCTATAGCCTACGAGTAATCTCTACATTATATAGCTTTCTTTAGTTAACAGAACTACAAAAAAGACCACTACAAAAAGATAAGGCATAATTTTATTACTTTCAACTCTTTTCCATCACAAAGAAAATAAAATAACACACAACTTTAAAAAAATAAATTTTTATTAAAAGCAGTAGAGTCTGAGCAGGAAGACAGTACAAAGAATGTAAACAATGTAAACATCACTACATTCAGCTCAGCCTGATTGAATGCTGAAAGACAACTCTAAAATGCTCTATGTGCCCTTACTAGCATGATACATTAATTCTATTTTACACAGACAACACACACTAACTTTGATTATGCAAAAGTATTTTATCGAAGTCGATCCCAGCGCCAAATACTGGCATCATCACAGACAGCTATGAGAATGCTGCTATCCCTGCTAAAACTGGTTTGTCGAATAGCAGCACCACATTTATGATGGGTCAGTGTTGTACATCTAGGGAAAAAACATGACAACTGGTTAAATTAAATACCATAATGTCAGTATCTACCTTAAAACAACGAATTAGAAAATGAGCACATGGCCAGGTGCAGTGGCTCACACCTGTAATCCTAGCACTCTGGGAGGCCGAGGCAGGTGGATTGCTCGAGGTCAGGAGTTCGAAACCAGCCTGAGCAAGAGCAAGACCCTGTCTCTACTATAAATAGAAAGAAATTAATTGGCCAACTAATATATATAGAAAAAGAATTAGCCGGGCATGGTGGCATATGCCTGTAGTCCCAGCTATTCTCGGAGGCTAAGGCAGTAGGATCGCCTGAGCTCAGGAGTTTGAGGTTGCTGTGAGCTAGGCTGACGCCACAGCACTCTAGCCTGGGCAACAGAGCAAGACTCTGTCTCAAAAAAAAAAAAAGAAAAAAAAGAAAATGAGCACATGTTCCAAGTCATAAAGTCATATAGAAAGCATTTAAAACCAGAATATACTTACTTCACTTAAGAGCTCAATGTCAAATTTTATACAATTTGGGTATATTTAAGTTCAAGAAGCACACATAACTTGTATAAAAAAGAAATAATTTGTCACTAAGGAAATCATGAGAAATAATCATTATCGGAATAAAGCAGAAATTCTTTAACCCTGAAATGTAAATGACTTAAGGATGTTAAAATGTTAAATGTTAAAATGACTTAAAGATGGCATTTCACAGATCAATTATTTTCTCTAAAATTTGAGAAAAAGGCAGAAATTTTGAAGAGACATTTCTAAATACTTACTTGGCTTTATGAGGATCTTCTACTTCTAAATCCCAAACATAAAGTTTGCCAACCTGATTGCCCAGTGCAAGCATCTGTATAAACATATTTTTTAAACCAGTGAATTAATAAAATCACCAAGCTCTAAACATTCAAGCAATTCCAAGTTATCTTTATTTCAAAAAACCTCAGCTCCAGCCTTTGCTGGGCTCTTAACTATGGCCTTGGATCTTATATTCCTGATTTGTAAATAGGAATAAGAGCAATTAATACTTAACAAGTGTCTTGAGTGGAAAAGGCGGCATTTTGTAAATTTATGAAGGGCTTTACAATTTACATTGTTAGCATGGTACTCACTTTTTCTTCTGCATTCAAGAATTACAGCAAAAGCTGTAGAAAACTCTTCCAAAGCTTTCTTACAGAAATAAATACCCAGGTAATTTGTTACCACAAAATCCAATAGATTTCTTTAAAATTTTAGATAACTAGTATTTTGTCTTCCATCCTGACTTTTCTCTACATTATTCTAGGAAAAAGTTACATAAGCTTAACACTGTACTAAAACATTAAGTCTTAGTAATGTTATATTAATACTTGTTATTGAATATAAACACCCAACTTTCATCAATACCTGTCAATGACATTTCAGTTAAGTACTGCAAATAGTGTGCAGAGTCAAAAAGGTAGAGTAACAAAAAAGGGCAAAGTAATCAACACAACATTAAAGAGGAAAAAAACATGGACACAACAGAAAAGGCTAGATTTGCAATGGTCTTGCATAAGTCAAATCATTTCAAAATCTAGAAATATGTTCATACCTTTTGCCAGAAATCCATAGAAAACCTCATGTACCAAATGTCACACTGGCTATAATCAAATCTCCCAAGAATAGTCACATTAGACTCACTGGGTTTAATTTTATCTATATCATCTTCCATTTTGCCTGGTTTCCAGCACACAATGGCATTTTCACAAGACTAAAAAAGAGAAATGAGGAAAAGAAATGTTAATTATAGAACTGAATTTAAAATATTAAAAACAAAGCTTTTCTTCACTATCATTTTAGAAGTGATAGCTCTTAGAACCTGGTTAATCAATCTACCAAGCACAGTGATATGCATTCATTTATATTTAGAGTCAATATCTACACTTAAAGGGACAAAAAAATCTGATTATCAACAGAATTAGACAATACAAAAGTATCACACTGTCTGAAATGTTCATTTTGTAAGTCACAATTTCTCTTCCAAATCAAACCAAGTTCAGCTCTAGATACTCTGACACCCAGAGACTTTGTTTTATAGCAAAGGTACAATTACAAGTACATAATATTACAAAACATGGCTCTTCATAAGCCTTTGCTTATTGAATTAATTTCACCTTTCCCCATTCAATTTCTCATTTCACTTCTAACCACAGATGGTCCCCCTTTACCTCGTTTGTTAACTATTAATCCTTCATCCACGGTGTCTGTGCCACACAGTAGGAACTCAGTACATGTCTTAGGAAAGCTGATGAACTCACAGAAAGTGCCTTAGAACTCAAGTTATTAATAGGGGAATAGGAAAGTAGTGGTTTGATATCTAGACACTGATATGGGGGTGGGACTGAAATAGGCTGAAAAGTTATACTTCTCCTATCCTATAACATCAAATCTTTACACACATGCTTATAATTAAGCAGTAAGTGGTAAAGAATACAATGGAAGGAAACTGCAAAGCTGTGGGTGGTTTGCCCACTAATGGACATAGAGCAATGTGTCTGGGCTCTAGTGCGTAGAGGCCAGAAATGCTACCAAACATCTTATGATGCCGTCCACAAAAAAGAATTATCAGACCCAACACTGACAGCACCGGGATTGAGAAACACTGGTGTAGGTGAACAGCGAGCCCTAGAGTTTTACAGAACAGGCTATACAGTCGCATGAGGTAGCCCTGTGGGATTCACTAGCATTTAAACAGTTTCACAGCAGGGCCACTGGAAGATTAGGTTGGGGACAACACATTCTTTTTTCTTCTCCACTTATTTTAGACTTTTGAAATCCTAGTGCTATATGGTATCTGTTATACAAGTTCACAACTGTGAAGTACCTTAGAAACCACCTAGTTTGATGACTCTTGACTAAATGCATAATTGGATCAATAAGCCTGTGGAGTTTTCCCAAAAGATTCATCTTGGCCTCAGCCCTACTGAATCAGAATCTCTAACAGAAAGGGCAAGGCAAAAGAAACATAAAATAGCTCTTTGAATGCTGCTTACCGACTGCACTGGTAAAGAATTTCTAATTACTAGAGCTTCCTCATGGGAAACTAAAGCATAGGGAGGTAAAAAGAAGTTGCCAGAGCTAGTGGATCGCTGCACTTCAAAATTATCTACAGAGCTTTACAATATTACAAATTCCCAGGACCTCGTGCCAGATTTAGAATCTCTGAAGTGAGGTCTAGGAATCTATTTTTCCAATGTTCTCCTAGTGACTCTGATGCAGAGCCACATTTGAGACCACCAGTGTATTTTGGTTCAGCCTCCCACCTAAAATTCAGAAATCTTTTCCTGTGGACTAAGTTCTAAGAACAGAAATTTTTAAATGCTACTGGCTTTTCAGTTCTGCTATAAAAATGATGGAGCAGATGTAATATTCCCTATTTTTCCACTAAGTATAGATTAAAAGTCTGAATATCATGTATAAAGGCAAACACAAGACTCTGAAAGGCAGATAAATTAGGAACCCTTGGAACATGAACAATATAGTGCTGAGTTCTCTGGGTTTTCTTTTGCCTTATATATCCCAGATCGGATGCTAGAGAAGGCAGCGGCTCAGAAATGCTAATGGGTGAAGACAAAAAAAGCTTCAACAGAGACTGCTCTTTCTAGCCAAAGGACCAATATAGCGGCAGCCTAACAAGACATAAAATTTTCAGACAATAAATGCTCTACTCCAGCCAAACACCATAAGAAAAAACTACATTAAAAAATCTGTGGACCCATCTCTACCTGAACCAGCAAAGGTCCAGTCAAAAGCCATTCTCAGGTTGTAACTAAGCACCTCAAGTACCTACCACTCTTTGTGGTAATGGGGTAACCCTCCTACTCTCTCTGGCTGGGGTGCTATCAGAAGGCCTAGTACAGTTAGGATGTTCCTAACCACTCAGTCATAAGGCCACCACCAACTATCCACTATGTCAGTGGAGACCACTAGGGGAACAGTAATTAGGCTTCCTGGTCCCTCGCAGCCAGGGTGGTGTCAGCTAAGACCTACAGAAAACCTTAACTCCCACACCCACCCAGCAGTAATGAGCTACCTAAACCAAGTCAACAGAGTGGGGAACCCAGACATCCACCCGCACCTGGCAATCACGAGTCAGTGCTCCCCAGTTCCCCAGCTTTTTAAAAAAATATCAGAGAAAGCCTGCTGTAAGAAAAGATCCAAATAAGATCCAGAGTCTCATAGTATCCAAAATATCCAGGTTTCAATCAAAGGTCACTCACCATAAGAATCAGAAAACATCAACTTTAAAAAGATAATCAACAGATGCCAAACTGAGATAACAAAAATGTCAGATCTTACATAGATTTAAGACAGTAATCGTGAAAATGCTGTAATGAACACAAACATGCTTATAACAAACAAAAGTCTCAGCAAAGAAACAGAACAAGAATCAAATGGAAATTTCAGAACTGAAAAATACTATTATAACCAAAATAAAAAACTCAATTGATGGGCTCAACACCAAGAGGAGAGGATACAGAGCCAGTAAATCTAAAAGTAATGCAACAGAAATTACTCAATCTGAACAAAAAAGAAAACAGACTTAAAAAAAATGATTAAGTCCCAGAGACCAAACAAAAAAATCTAACATTCTTAGCATTGTAGTCCCAAAATGACGGAAGAGAGCAGGGCTGAAAAAGAATTCAAGTAATGACTAAAAACTTTCCAAATCTAGAACAAAGTATGTTCCTAAAACATAAACCTATTACAGAATCAAGAAGGTTAGATAATCCAAAGAAATTCACATCAAGTCAGATCATACTCAAACCTCGAACTAGGTATACTTATGCTCAATCTGAAAACTAAAGACAAGGAATAAATCCTAAAAGCAGTAAGACAGACAGAACACCCTACTTACAGGGAAAAACAATTCCAATGACAGCAGATTTCTCATCAGAAATTATGGAGGCCAGAGAGGGAGCACATTTTTCAAGTGTTGAAAATAATTGTGAAGCCAGAATTTAGTGAATATAGCCTTCAGGAATGAAGCAGAAATGAGGCCACTTCTCAGATGAAGAAAAACACTGAGAATTTGTCACCAGCAGACTTACCCTAAAAGAATGGCTACAGGAAGTTTTCTGAACAGAAAGGCAATGATTTACAAAAGAGTCTTAGAATTACCTGTATGGAAAAACAACTGAAAAAACAAAATGAGTAAATGCAATACTCTCCTTTTCCTCTTGAGCTTTCTAAATTACATTTGATGGTTAAAGCAAAAATTATAACACCATCTGATGTGGTTCTCAAATATAAAATAAATATTCAAGACATTTATATTATAAATGGAGAAGAACAAGTGATAAAGTGATGTAAACTTCACTCAAATTGGTAAAATGCCAATATATAGCAGACTGTGGTAAGTTATAATACATATAGAAAAAAGACTCAAAATATTACGGATAAATAAAATACTATAGATAAATGGAAATGGAATTCTAAAACGTGTTCATGTAACCTATGGGAAGTTTGGGGAAAAAACCTAAAGAATGAAATAAAAAAGCAAAATGGCAGACTTAAAGCAATAACTGATGTTAAGGCTTAAATATAAATGGTCTAAATAAACCAACTAAAAGATAGATTGGCAGAGTGGATTACAAAAATATGACCCAACTGTATATCATCTATAAGAAACTTACTAAAATATAGCAATATACATAGATTAGAAATAAAAGGTTCAAAAAAGATTACATAATGATAAAAGGGGCAAGCCCCCATGACAAAGCAATACTAAATGTGAATAGAGCTACAAAACATGTGAAAGAACTGAAAGGAGAAAGAGAAATCCACAGTTGCAGATGAAGATTTCAAAACCTGCCTCTCAATAACTGATAAAACAGCAGACAAAAATAATCAACAAGGATATATAAGATTCAATAACACCATCAACCAGCAATATCTAAACACTTACTGAACATTCCACCCAATACAATACACATTATTTTGAAGTTCCCATGGAACCTATCTAAAATAGAGCCATAAAACAAATTCTCAAAAGAGTTAAAAGAACTGATTCAACAACCTAAGCTCCCACCTTAAGAAACTAGTATAAAAGTTGAGCAAAATAAACCCCTAGCAAACAAAAGAGAGGATATCAATAACATTCAAAACAGGAAAAGCAAGGAAACAAGATCAATAAAATTGAAAATCTCTAACAAGATCGACAAAAGAAGACATAAACTACCAATTTCAGGAATACAATAGAGGTTATCACTAGAGACCCAGCAGATACCAAAACGCTAACAAGGGAATACTACAAACAGCTCTGTTCACATAAATTTTTACTTTAGATGGAATGGACCCATTCCTTAAAATAGCACAAACCACTGACACTCACACAATATGAAGTGATTAATTTGAATTAATACCCTTTTAATTATTTCAGCCCTATAACTATTAAGGAAATTGAATTCATAATTTTAAAAATCCCTCTCAAAACTTTTTAGGCACAAATGATTTAACTGGATAATTCTACCAACCATTTAAAGAAGAATTAATGCTAATTTTGTACAATCTCTTCCAGAAAATAGAAGACAAAACACTTGACAATTCATTTTATGAAGTCAGTACTACTAACAACAAAACCAGACAAAAACAGTAAAAAAAAATTCAGAACAATAAATACAGACACAAAATCCTTAACAAAATATTAGCAAACAGGCCGGGCATGGTGGCTCACACCTAGCACTCTGGGAGGCTGAGGCGGGAAGACTGCTTGAGCTCAGGAGTTAGAGACCAGCCTGAGCAAGAGCGAGACTTCATCTCTACTATAAATAGAAATAAATTAGTCAAACAACTAAAAATAGAAAAAATTAGCTAGGCATGGTGGCATGTGCCTGTAGTCCCAGTTATCCGGGAGGCTGAGGCAGGAGGATCGCTTGAGCCCAGGAGTTTGAGGCTGCTGTGAGCTAGGCTGATGCCTTGCCTGGCACTTTAGCCCAGGCAAGACAGTGAGACTCTGTCTCAAAAAAAAAAAAAAAAAAAAAAAATTAGCAAACAGAACTCAGAAACATATAAAAAGAATTATATAGCATGACCAAGTGGAATTTATTCCAGTGTTATAAAGCTAGATCAATATTCAAAAACCAATCAATATAATCCACTATTTTAACAAGATAAAGAAGAAAAACCATACGATCATATCAAATAAGATAAAATCTACACAAAACATACAACTAACATACTTAACGTTGAAAGACTGAATGACAAGTCAAAAATGTCATTAACACTGCTATTCAACATAGGACTGAAAGCTCACCAATGCAAAAAGAGAAGAGAAGAGAGAAGAAAAGAGAAAAGAAAAGGCATACCTATCAGAAAGGAAGAAATAAAACTATCCCTATTTGCAAATGACATGATGGTCTACACAGAAAATTGCCAAGTAATTTACAAAAAAACCCCTTCAAGAATAAGTAGTTTAGTTAGGTTGCAGGATTCAAAATCAATATGCAAAGATCAACTGTATTTCTACATATTGGTTATGAACACATAAAAATAGAAATCTAAAAAATTATGTATCATTTACAATTGTTCAAAAAAACCTTTAGGTATAAATCTAACAAAGCACAAACATTTATATGCTAAAACTTCAAAATGCTAATGATAAAAATCAAAGAAGATCTAAATAAAAGACTCATACCATAGCTGTGGATTAGGAAACTTGGCCTAAAGACATTATTTCCCCTCAAAATGATATATAGGTTTAACACAATTTAACACAATGCCAATCAAAATCTCTCTCCCTGCAAAAAAAAAAAAAAAAAAAAAAAAAAAGGCCAGTAAGATTTTTTATAAATATAGACAAGATTATTCTAAAATTTATGTGGAAAAGCAAAGGAACTATATAATGGCTAAAAACAATCTTGAAAAAAAAGAATGAAGTGGGAGAAATCTATCTGATTCCAAGAATAATATAGAGCTAATATAATGAAGACCGTGTGTGTAATACTAGTAGAGAGACAGAAAGCGAAACAGAACAGAAAAACCAGAAACAGCCTCACATAAGGATGGCCAGACAATTTTTGACAAAGGCGCAAAAGTAATTCAATGGAGGAAGAATAATCTTTCAATAAATGCTGCTGAAACAACTGAATATCCACAGAGGGAGAAAAAAAAGGACTTCAACTAAACCTCGTACCTTATACAAAAATCAACTCAAAATGGATCGTCCATTTAATGTAAAACACAGCAGTCTAAAACTTTTAAAAGAAGCCACAGGAGAACATGTTTAAGGTCTAGGGCTTGGTGAAGAGTCTTTAGATACAACATCAACAACATGATCCATAAAATGTTTTTAAAAACCCAATAAATTGGATTTCATAAAAATTAAAAACATATGCTCTGTGAAAGACCCTATTAAGAAGATGAAAAGATGAACTACCAACTGAAAGAAAATATTTGAAAACCACATATCTGACATAGGATTCATATTTGGAATATATTCAGAATTCTCAAAACTCAACAGTTAAAAAAAAAAATAACAAAAACCAATCTAATTAGAAATGAGCAAAAGAGATACGAAGAGATATCACCAAAAAGGATATGTGGATGATAAATAAGCACATGAAAAAGATGTTCAACATCACTAGCCATCAGGGAAATGCAAATTAAGACCAGGAGGAGATATCACTACACACCTATCAGAACAGCTAAAATAAAAAATAATGACAATACCAAATGCTGGCGAAGATTCGGAGAAACTGGATCTCTCATACATTGCTGGTGAGAATGTAAAATGGCACGGCCACTCTGGAAAATAGTTTGGCAGTTTCTTAAAAAACTAAACAAACTTAACCATGACCCAGCAATTGCCCTCCTAGGCATTTACCCAGAGAAATGAAAACTTTTAAGTCCACACAAAAACCTGTACACAACTGTTCATTAGCAGCTTTATTTGTAATAGCCCCAAACTGGAAACAGCCAAAACATCCTACAATAGATAGTTAAATAAACTGTGGTACATCCATACCATGGAATACTACTCAGCAATAAAAAAGGGAACTACTGATAGAGGCAACAAGTTGGATGAATCTCAAGGGCATTATACTGAGTGGAAAAAAACAATCTTAAAAGGTCCCAAAATGTAACAGTGTTGAAATGACAAAATTCACTATGATAAAATGACAAAACCATACACACACATTGTACTGATGTTAATTTCCTAGATTTGATATTGTATTATAATTACATAAGATATAACTATTAAGGGAAATTGGGTAAAGGTCAAATGGGACCTCTCTGAACTATCTTTGAAACTTCCTGTGAATCTCATTATTTCAAGATCAAAAGTTTAAGGAAAAATATAAACCACTAAAACTATAGACATTAAAGCCAAGAAAAAAATTAATCAGGCTCTGCTTAAGAAAATGTGAAGTGGCCTGAAATCCACATCAAGAAAAGAAACTGGACAGCAATTTCTCCAAATTTGACAATCCTAAATGTTCATATAACATCATGAGTAATTTCTCTAAATTATCAGCTAAAAAAAAAATACATATATACACATACACACAGATGGTTCCTGATTTATGATGGTTTAACTTATGATTTCTTGACTTTATGATGGTATGAAACCATCATAATTTTGACATACTTCAAATTTTGAATTTTGATCTTTTCTTGGGCTAGCTATATGCAGTACATGAGCTATTCAACACTATTATAATATAGGCTTTGTGTTAGATGATTTTGCCCAATTGTAGAGTAATGTTAAGTGTTTTGAGCACGTTTAAGGTAGGCTAGGCTAAGCTATGATATCTGGTAGGTTAGGGGTATTAAATGCATTTTCCTCATGAAATTTTTAATTTATGATGGCCTTATCAGGATGTAATTCCATCATAAATCGAAGAGCAGGTCTATCAATATGCTAGAGCAGAGGTTGGCAAACTACAGCCCATGAGCCAACTCCAGCCACCTGATTTTGTAAATAAAATTTTACTGAAATAGTGACAAACACAGAAAACAAACCACTGGCTTGAGATACTGGTTACCTGCAATAACATCGAATATCAGAGAACACTATCACCTTGCAAGCTACATTTCTCATCTTACTGGAGCACAAAGAATTTTAATTCACTAGGATGTTTTATCCCTAAAACAAGTTTCCAAATATATAAAAATAATGAGACTTCAGAAAAAAAAGGCAGTTTCCCATCTGCCATTCATCTTAACAAACTACACAAAAACCTCCCTGCAAAGTTCCAACACACACATACATACATACATACATACATACATACATACACACATACATACACACACACACACACACACAATGGAAGTATATCTTAACTGCAGTTACCATACCTTAGAAAGTATCAAATCGCCTAACCATCGCACACAATCAACATAATTCCTATGTATGTCTCTGGTAGAAAAATCAGGAAAATGGATTTTCTGAGAAATAAATGGCCTGAAGGAAGAATGGAAATGTAAAAAGTTAAAAGAAAAATTATTGTAGAATCACACTTTTTCATATTTGGATTTATAAAACTTTGAAAAAAATGTATGACTATTAATTCCTCTGTGTACCTATATAACGAATACCTTATTAGTTTATTGAGAGCTAAAGTCTCACTCCACTTCTTTTTCCTATAATATTTCATTTATTAAAATTGCAGCTCCTGCCTTTTACTATATATAACCCCAAATAAAACACTTCAATTCTGGCTATCCTAACCAATGATAAAGACCTGAATGTGGAGATCACTAAGTTTATCATAGAAAACATACTAAGCCACCTACTCAATCCTGTAAAATTTAGCATTCATGGTTTATGAAAGTCAACATATCTACAATACTGCAAAAGATCGTCATCTTTTTAGGAACAATGAAACATCATTCCAAAGTCTGCTAAAGGTAAGTTTAGATGACGAGAGTGCTGCTTGAGCATTACTTTCTGAAAATGACACTTACAGGAATTTCACATTTAATTAGGAATTTTCCAAATAATTTCTGTACTTAGGAAACCAAATCATGGCATCATTTTTCCCTTAAATATATTTGTCAGAAGACAATAAGCAAGACAAGCTGCACTAATTTTGGAGTTTTTAATACTATACCTGACATGTCTACCTTAGTAAGTGATTCTGTTTTAATCAGAAATAACTATAGAATATAATATGCCATTAATTAGTTGTTTTAGGAAATTCATATGTTCTCTCTTTATGTTTTCCTCACATTTGTAAAAAGCACACTGGGCTGCATCATCTCAAACAACCCTCTAATTCAAATTCTGGGATCTTGTTTGTTAAAACATTAAAATGTTTATAATGATCTAATATAAATTCCTAATCTAATATAATTATGTTACTTGCTTTTAGCCAAGTAAATATAATCTTATGACTAAACCTCTCTCAGGGAGAAGACTAACACAACTCAATGTTATTTTTTGTAAACTGTGAAATATAACTTGTCTTTATTCCAGAGGCCTAGAAAATAATTTAAAATATAAATTTAACATTGTAGTAGCCACTGGTGTTTTATTTATTTTTTTTTTTTTTTTGAGACAGAGTCTCGCTTTGTTGCCCGCTAGTAGGAGTGCCGTGGCGTCAGCCTAGCTCACAGCAACCTCAAACTCCTGGGCTCGAGTGATCCTTCTGCCTCAGCCTCCCGGGAGCTGGGACTACAGGCATGCGCCACCATGCCCGGCTAATTTTATATATATATATCAGTTGGCCAATTAATTTCTTTCTATTTATAGTAGAGACGGGTCTCGCTCAGGCTGGTTTTGAACTCCTGACCTTGAGCAATCGCCCGCCTCGGCCTCCCAAGAGCTAGGATTACAAGGCGTGAGCCACAGCGCCCGCCTGCCGCACTGGTGTTTTAAGGAAAAATCTTAAAGTTGTAATAATCCTTAGAGGCCATGGGTCTAATGAATGTTAGTGCCAATGAAGTATTTACTAATGCTTACAAAGTTAACTAACAATCTATTAATAATCTAGCTTGATAATCTAAACTCTAGCTCTTTGCTAAAACAAAAGTGGCACAAAGTTAACATATGCAGACAAACGATGTTTATAGTGAAAGTGTTAATGAAGCTTCATAAGATTCTAAGAGTTACTGCACTAATTGAGACATTCCAAAAATATATAAGGAAACTGAAAAATTCTCCACCCTATAGTACCATAAAGCAAGGCTCCTGCATGTGAATTTTCTCCATTTATTATGAAGTGAGCATCATTTAGAGGAATGCATTAATATTATCGTGAATGAGATAAGAACCCTCCCCTTTTTTGAGAAGAGGTGTTGTTCTATCACCTAACTAGAGTAGAGTGGCACAATCACAGTTCATTGCAGCCTCGATAGAACCCCTGGGCTCAAGCAATCCTGCTGCCTAAGTAATAAGAAACATGCCACCATGCCAGCTATTATTTACTTCTTTTGTAGAGACGGGATCTCATTGTGTTGCTCAGGATGTCCCAAACTCTTGGCCTCAAGTGATCTCCTGCTCAGCCTCCCAAAGTGCTGGGACTACAGGTGTGGACCACTTTGCCTGGCCAAGAACCCCAGTTATTGAAATTGTGGCTTACCATCTTAAATTAGAATTTACACTGTTTATAACATGACTCTATTGTGTCCTTTACTTTCTTTATTTCATAAGTTTAAGTGATTTAACATTATTCCTCAGTACAACATAGCAAATTATTTTGAATACTACAATTGTTACGCTTGTTAGTTTTATTTGGGTTATAATCATAAGATTCCTTAATTGCATTCATCATTCTCTTTGAATTGATCCTCCAAAGTTTAAGAGAGTGATCCATACCACAAGACATTATTTTTTCACCCAAAAGATCATAATCCTGTATATAAAACAGAAAATTTTAAGTATATAAATTACAGCCCCAAATTATATTTATCCAATTTTCATCTGATGTAATATAGTGAAAATTGTATTTTAAACCACAATACTAACTACACTTTGGGTTTTATCTATAAAAGCCATAAATCAGAGTTAACTACCTTCAAGAATTTACGGTTTTAATTGATTTGTCACCACAGTATGAGCTTTTACAATACAGAAGGCAAGAAAATAAATTACTTGAACTTAGTGTTATCTATTCAATTATCTTTAAATATTTATTTTGCTTTATTTTGAAGGTAAAGTGAACACTAAGGTATAATAATTATTCGATGACACAAGAAGCTGAATAGTTATATTACTCTTCCTGTCTAATCCTGATCAAGCAATGAAAATGACATCTATATGTGAAAACACATGAACCTAAAACAGCTGAAATTTAACTTTATCTGTACTTCTAAGTCAAAACATTTACATTGGTTTTAGAGATCACTTGTGGACACTGAGGCCCAGAGATGCTACTTAATTTAGCATAAGGCACACAATAAGTTAATGAAAAACTCACACATCTATCCTCCTAGCAGCGAACTCCTGTGTTAAGTAGAAGAGATATATATTGTCTCCTGTTTTCATTCTAAGAAATAACAGTAAAGAGTACTATTAAAGGATATTTTCCCTATTAACCTAGGTATTATGTGTTTATCCAACCCTCCAGTTAATTATGAGCAGTGTTTTATAAGAGTCTGAGAACTTTTAGGTTTGTGTTTATTGAATTCACAAGTACACTATTTCTAATTACCTCACTGTCAACAGCAACAAGACATCCTCAGACTTGGTAGTTCTAATTTAGAGTTCTTAATAAAGGATAGTACACTTGGCTTTTACACACATAAAGCCAAATATAGAATGCTATTGCAACTTTTAGAAAATCCAAGTTGACAGGGTATCCCAAGTTAGGTATGATTCTCAAAAATGCATACAAACCCCATCTACAGGAATATTTTGGTGCTTCCAATTAATATGCTACATGCTTCAAAATATGCACCCTTTACATAGTTAAATAAAAAACAAAAACCAAAGAGGTAGAAAATTTCTAAAGGAATCAAGGGAGCTATACATGGAACATAAATAAAGCTAAAATAATGTAAAAATCTGAAATCTTAGTGAAAACACTTGTATCATATTATAGTAGATCAAAGGATTATAATACAAGCAATAGAAAGACAGTATTTAAACCAACTATTGGTCTTTTATAATACCACGCCACCCAAGGAGAAAAGTTGGAAACAAGTTACATAAAACTCAGTATGAGCACAATAAACCACTTCCTAAAAGTGAGTAACTTATGTTTCAACTTCAAAGAAAAGATGAAAAGTTGTTAATGGCTAAGTAGTTTAATGTTTTCCTTTAACAACTGAGAAAAAGTAAAACAAAGATTAACTTAGTGGTTTTATATTAACAGAAAAGGAACAAGTTCATAGTATTTGTGCAGGTAATTAAAAAAACATACAAAAATAGCCTTTACTCGCTTTATTCCTTCATATGTAAGATCAAAATCTTGTCTGTCAAACATAAATGAAATGTCTGCCTGACAGGCTTTATAAAACAAACATATGCTTTCTTATATGGAGTTCCATGGGAATGTTCATAGCTATGTAAACTTAAGTCACTGCCCTGCAGCTTTCAACTTACAGCACTTAGAACTTCATCTCTGTGCCCTTCTACGCCTCCAAATATTGCCACCAGAGTGTCCGTTTGGATATTCCATAATCGTAAAGCATGATCTAGTATAAACATACAAAAAATTCAGATGAACTTTTATCATTCATTTACTATGAACTTCCAACATCTTGTTAAAAATAAAAAAACTACAGAAGTTTGCACTTAAGTTATGCACAGTAAAGCCTAAAAATGGTATCTGTATTATATAGCAACTTAAAATATTTACATCACATGTAGAATTAACTAGGTGCTAAGGTTTGAATGTGTCCTCCAAAAAGCATGTGTTGAGAACTTAATCCCTAATATAACAGTGTTGTGATGTGGGGTCTAATATGAGTTATTGAGGTCATGGGGCTCCACCTCCAAGAATGGATTAATACCAATTATATTTAATAAAAAGACCTAAGACTACAAATTCAATCGCTTTTTCCCTCACACATTCTCTTTCTCTTCTGGCCTTCCACTATGGGAATGATGCAACACCTGGCCCTCACCAGATGTTGGTGGCATGCTCTTGGACTTCCAAGCCTCTCAAACTGTAAGTCAAATAAATTTTTGTTCATTATAAATTACCCAGTGTGTGGCATTCTGTTATGGCAGCATAAAACAGACTAAGGTTGGTACCAAGAAACTGAACTGTTCCTATAAATATCAGAAAATGTGGAAACAGTTTGAAACTGGGTAACATGTTGTGGCTGGAAGAATTTGGAGAAGCAAGCTAGAAAAAGCCTGTTTTGCCACGAATGGAATGTTGAGGTCAATTCTGGTGAGGGCTCAGAAGAAGACAACAACTGCAAGGAGAGCCTAAATCATATTAGAGATTACTTAAGTGGTCCTGATCAGAATGTTGATAAAACTATACATAGTAAAGACCATTCTGATGAGATCTCAGATAGAAATGAGAAAGTACTGGAAACTGGAATAAAGATCATCCTTGCTATACAGTTGTAAAGAACTTTGCAGAATTGTGTCCATAACCTAAGGACTTTGTAGAAGGCAGAGCATAAGAGCAATGAACTAGGATATTTGGAAGAAATATCTAAGCATCAAAGCATTCACACTGCTGCATGGCTTCTTTTGGCTGCTTACAGTAAAATGAGAGGAGAAGGATTTAAAGATGGAATTTATAATTAAAAGGGAAGCAAAACAAAAAGATCTGGACAATGCTCAGCCTGGCTGCACAAATAAAAAACTGTGTTCGGGAGAGAATAGGAAGAATGTGGCCAAGCGGCCAATTGCTAAACAGATTAATAGGGATAGAAGGAAGCCAGATTCTATTCATCGAGATAATAGGAAAATGACCTCCAAGGCATTTCAGAGACTTCTGAGGCAAAATTAGGACCCTGAGGACAAGGCTTCCAGACAGGCACTCACAAGTTCTCTACATTCACTTCCCAGAGCCTTTGGAGACTCTGCTCCCTGCCTATGCAGCACTCCTTGGTTGCCCCAGGTGTAGCTCAAGAGGGCTCAGGCCACAGCTTCAGAAGGTGCAAGCAGCAAATCTTGGTAGCATCCATGAAGTGTCAAGTCTGTAGGTGCACACAATGCAAGAGCTGTGGAGGCATGGCTTTCTCCACCTAGATTTTAAAGGATGTCACAAACAACCTGGGACCCAGGCAGAAACTTGTCACAAGGGCACAGCTATCACAGAGAGTCCCCACTAAGGCAATGCCTAGCCAAACTATAAGGACAGAGCCACTGCAAAGTTCCCCACTATGAAAATGCCTAATGGAGCTACCGGGGCTCCACTAGGATCTTGAGATCCCCAAGATCCCAGAACTGCAGAGCTACCAGCATGCAACAACAGCCTGGAAGAGCTACAAGACACCTGACTCCAACCTATGAGAGATGCTGTGTGGGCTATACCTAGTAAAGCCATGGGGCAGGCTGCTAAGGCCTTCGGGGCACAACTCCTGCCCCAATGTGCAGGAGATGATATGGAGTAAAGGAAGATTATTCTGGTACCTTAGATTTCCTGTTGTTTGCTGTTGGATTTTGGACTTACTTGGGACTATTTCTCCCTTTTGGAATGGGAATATGTATCCTATGCCTATTCTACCACTATACTTTAGAAGTAGATAGATAACTTGATTTAACAGGATCACAGCTGGAGGAGAATTTACCTCAGGATGAATTCTGCCTTGAGTCTCATTCATTTCTGGTACAGATGAAACCCTGGACTTTGGACTTTTGAGTTGATACTAGAACAAATTAAGACTTTTGGAGTTACTGGATGGAATCAATGTATTTTGTATCTGAGGGTGTGAATTTTGGGGGCTAGGAGAAGAATGCTATAGTTTGAATGTGTCCTCCAAAATGCATGTGTTGGAAATTTAATCCCCAATACAGAACTTTTAAGATATACTGGCTAATGGGAAGTATTTAAGTCATGAGGGCTCCACTTTTTTTTTTTTTATTTCAGCATATAATGGGGGTACAGATTTTAAGGTTTCAATAAAGGGCTCCACTTTTAAGAATGGATTATAAAAGGGCTTGAGACTGCAAGTTCAATCTCTTGCTTACTCTTAGCCTCTCATGGCAAACTAACATGGAAAAACACAGTAAGATCAGTAAATAAGAAATATGTGTCATCTTAAAAATACTCTTAAGCTTATTTACCTAAAATAATTTTCTTTAAATAACAACCTAATTTGATGGAAATATATTTTTGAGGTAAGAAAATAAATACTTAGGGATTTGACATAATTTTATACTATGCCACAGAACAATACAAACTTTTGCCTTTACCACACTCACATTAACAAATTGAAGGAGACTGAAAGATTTATAAGATTTCTACAGTAAGATCAAAATATGAAAACTACATATCATGACACAATTTTATAGGACAATCTTTTATAAAAATTATATAACTATAATTTGAGCAATCTTTTCTATTAAATATTAATAGAATGTACAGCAAAAGAAATGTCATGTAGAGCTTGAAGTACGACAATGTTCATACTGTATGTGAATGTTAACATACTACATAAATAACACCAAGAGGCAGTAATATATGTGTCAATAGTAGAAATTAAGATTGCTGTAAAAATAGTTTCTTGATTCCAACTGTGTACAAGTTTCTGTGTGGACATGTTTTTGTTTCTCTTGGAGATAGACACACACACCCCCCTAGGAATTAAATATATGTGTATATATATACACCTAGGATTGGTAATTCTATATTTAGCATTTGAGGAACTGCACAGTTTTTCAAAATAGTTATGTTTTACATTTCCACCAGCAATGTTTGAGGGGGGTTCCAATTTCTCCACATCCTAGTCAACACTGTCTGATCTGGCTCTATAACCCAGTCAACAGTGCAGTGGCATGATCAATGCAACCTCATCTCATGGGCTCAAGTGATCCTCCTGGCTCAGCCTCCTGAGTAGCTAGGACTACAGGTATGCACCACCATGCCAGTTAATTTTTCAATACTTTTTGTAGAGCTGAGGTCTCACTATGTTGCTTAGGCTGGTCTTGAGTTCCTGGCCTCTAGCAATCCTCCCAGCTAGGCCTCCCAAAGTGCTGGGATTACAGGTGTGAACCAGTGTACCTGGCTCTGTCTGAATTTTTTATTAGCAGCCATCGTAAGTAAGTGTGAAGTGGTATCTCACTGTGATTTTGATTTGTATTTTTCTTATAATTAATATGTTGAACATCTTTTCATGGGCTCATCAGCCATGTATCTTCTTTGGAGAAATGTCGATTCAGAATATTTGCCCATTTTTTTAATTGGGCTGTCTTTATTATTGAGCTGAAGAGTTCTTTATACAAGTCTTTTATTAGATATATGATTTATGAATGTTTTTCCTCCTATTCTGTAACTCGTCTTTTTACTTTCTTGATGGTATCATCTGTAGCAAAATTCTTATTCATGTTGAAAAGCTGTTTGATATTTTTTTTAAAAATGCCCTGTTGACACAATAGGAGAAGACCAGGGTTAAAAGTTGTGATATTAGAACAAGTGAGGCATTATGACCTATTCACTTGTGCAGAAATATCTGAGCCAAAACACTGTTATCAAGAGACAAGAAAAAGTATTAGGTTCTTTCTAGAGGTGGAGATTTTCAAACTTAAGCCTGATAGTTACAGAAAAATGACAATGAAACATTTTCATGTAAGAGTTTCCATTTGAGGACATCCTTTGAGTAGATTGCAGGGGAGGTTATAGGTTTGACAAGCCTAAGAAAAGGATAAACTTCACTACGTTAATACAGTAGAAATGCAAAGAGAAAAGGCAATCAAGAACAGAATGCAGAAGTAAGAACCTAACTCATTTCAGATAGCTCAGAAATGATTAAGAACGACTAAGAGATCCATCTAAACTCAGAATACATTTATAATGCCAGCAAAGGCATAAAGAGCAACACAATGCCTTCTCTTTATGGGAAATATTCCAAAGGGCTTATGCTAGAGAACTTAGCATTTTAACAAATTTTATAGGAAATCTTTTTAAACTTTTTTTTTTTTAATTAAAAAGCAACATGGATTTTCATATGCAGTATCTTTTATTACATGATTGGAACAGGGTGATGGTAAGCAGTACAATTATTTTCAAAATTGTCTTAAAAAACTTTAAAACAATTATTCAGTTGAGCATAAAGTACTAAAACTATCACAATACAACATGGCAAATAAGAAGTGTAACCCATACTTAATTCTCAGCACCTATTATTTTACTTGGGTCTGCTGTTAACAGACATAAGTATATTTCATGGTCCCTTTCCCCAATTCTTGTTTTGAAGATGCTAATACAGCCTGACATTTTTCTGCTAAAATTTACTGCTATTAATTTTTTTTTTAATTTGGCTTTTTTCCTTAGAACACTAGTTGTTCCTTAAAGAATTATTCCCAAATAAAAAGGACTTGCTGATCTAAATAACAGAGAGGCTCTGAAAAGATATTATTTGGGAATAAAGCATTGCTATGGGAATATGCATTCTAGAGTCAACTATGTGTGTATTTACAGAGGTAAAGGAAAACAAAGGTTCTTAAAGAAAGAAAATGAAGATTACATAATTGTTTTGAAATAATTATCTGTGGCTACAAAGATCAGTAACATGGGGATGCTGGTCCAAGACTGAACAAGCAAGTTATGAGGCAGATGTCCTTAAGGAAGTATTTTTTGTGTGTAAGGTTATAATGGCTTTTGTGCAAGGTTGTGGTTTTTGTAGTCTTCTGTGATAGTTTTTCTTTTTAGGCATACAAGTATGAGAACTCTCTCTTCATGGCTTTTCCTCATTCTACTTTTCAGAATTTGCCTAATATCAGTGACTCCATTTTAATTCTGACAACTTCCGCAAACTAAAGAAACATTTGCTTCTCTTACCTTTACTTACTGACAGGAGAAGATTTGGATCTCTTGGGTGGAATTTCAGCTCATTGATAGCATTTCCATGGCCAACATAGTGCTACAATAAATTTAGAACACTTCAAGTTTCATACCTCAAAATCAATTGTTTCATAAATCTTTGGAGAATGAATATTTCCACTTAAAGCAGTGACTCTCAACCTTGGCTGCATATATCACCCAACAAACTTGAAGTAAAAAGAAATAAAAGATGCTAAAGTCCACTGCAGCTATTCTGAATGGATTGGATTAGTACAGGCTCAGCTATATGTAGGGCTTAAAAGATCATCAGGTGATGCTACTGTGTCCCCAGGGCTAAAACCAGCCAATTAAAGTGATTTGTAAAATTTTGTCTTCATATCAATTTCCTAGGCTTTCCCTTATGTTCCCTTGACTGTACAGCCTCTACCCCAAGGTCTGGGTATCTTGGAAAAACAGACTCACTCTTCTGTTATTTTTCATTGAGATTCTCTCAAAGCAAGGCAAGGGAGAAGGAGGGAAATGATTTTAAAAGAAAACATTGCAAACATTAACATTTTCCCATTTTTCCTTAATTTACATTACCCAAATGTGACAAAGGTCTCCAAAATCTTGTCTAAAGAAAGCAACAAGCAAACTACAAGTCAAATCACACATTTTACAGTCATTGATTCCATTAAAGTTTAAGATGACATGTTTTCACAGGTGTGCATTCAAAAGAAGCAGATCTATAATTTAATGAGAAAACCCACCTTTATACACTGCATTGTTATAGGATTAATTATCCTAATTATGCCTCTGGATCCAGCTACAGCCAGCAGAGGATGGCTTGTATTGCTATCATAGGTCCAAGCACAAGTGTAAAAGTTTTCATCAGCCTAATAAATGCCAGTTAAGGAAATATAATTTATTTTTGAAAAATAAACATGATTACAACACACATTCCAAGCTGTCCCTGGATCTAAGGAAAAATTTCTTAAAACTTTTTAAAAATGACATTACAAGGAAACCTACAAACAATCACTAAATTTTTTTTTTTTATTATTAATTTTTTTTGAGACAGAGTCTCACTCTGCTGCTCGAGGCTGGAGTGCCATGGCATCCGCCTAGCTCACAGCAACCTCAAACTCCTGGGCTCAAGCGATCCTCCTGCCTCAGCCTCCTGAGTAGCTGGGACTATAGGCATGCGCCACCATGCCCAGCTAATTTTTTCTATATATTTTCAGTTGTCCAGCTAATTTCTTTCTATTTTTAGTAGAGAGAGGGTCTCACTCTTGCTCAGGCTGGTCTTGAACTCCGGACCTTGAGCGATCCTCCCACCTTGGCCTCCCAGAGAGCTAGGGTTACAGGTGTGAGTCACCGCGCCCAGCAGCTGAATTTTTTGATGTAAAAAGTTCTCATTTTTCTTTATACAACCAATTATACAATTTTAGGTTTTTCTAAAATCCATACCAAATGATCAAACAATATCATAGTCCCTACACTCAAATTTTGTTTACTATTTTGCTGTTTGTACAACTACTCAACTCTGTCACAGGCAATATATAAACATATGATAAAACTTTATTTACAAAACAGGTGGCCAGCCCTGTAGGCAGTAGTTAGCTGTCCTCTGCTTTATCCTGATACTTCTCACTATGAATATCTAAATAAAAATGAATAACCATTTAATTTTCCATCTTTTCCTGTGGGAGCTCACATCTTTCCTTATCTTCTAAAGAAGACCGAGCTGAACGTCCTTGCCTTGTCCTGTTTGCTAGGTTTTTCGAACACATCTGGAAGAAACATCACCTAGCTTTTTTACTGTTAGCAAAGGTAACCCTTTGGCTTTTCAAATTTTTCCTTTTCTTTATGAACCCACATTTTGTAATATTTTACTTCATAAGCTGCACACTTATTTTTCTCTCCCTAAACTTTGTTGATCAAAAATACTTGGAATGATTGTCAGTCACAGCTTCTGATCAATCCAAGTTCATCATTATATAAAATAACTACACAGAAATGATAACTTCTAGACAAGGTCAAAGAAACAGAGGGTTTTAGCTAATCTCTACTACTATTTTTTATTATTGGATTTCTAATGCTCCTATCTCCAGCCATCTGCACCTACTCAACACACCCACCCCACAATGAATTTCTAAGGATCAGGAAAACTAAATCCCAGGATTCTCTTAGGTAATAGTGACAGTAATAGTGAAGATCTTAGGTGACAGTGATAGTGAAAAAACAGCACTGGTTAAAGTGTAAGAAGGACAATAATCTTAGGAAATTAATTTAGGAAAGTTTCAGGGTACTTATTGAAAATACATTTCTTTGACCAAAGATATTAAAAATCCAGGAAAGGATACATCAGCATCCACATAAGATTGCAACAACCGGATTTCACCTTGTGAATGACATTCATATAAGGTAACCTAACGAAAACAAAAATACAGTAAATTTCATTAAGTAGAGAAACATACCTTCTTCAACTTTTAAACATATTTTAGTCACAATTATATCTTAAATATACTACAGAAACTATTGCCTTTAAAGTTCCTTTAAGCTTAAGAAAGCCATTACAAAGCCAAATGTTTTACATAATATCCAGAGTATATTAAATAATGTAATAATAATTGTTTTTGCTTCTAATCTTTTAAATTTACATTTCATCCACATAATTGGACCAACTCTTCAAAGTGAATAAAGCTGAATACCCCAAAGTAATTGTGGTTATCATCTTTAAATTCACCAATTAAATTCTACTGGGTAGATTTTAGGCATGTTACATATTAGCTTACCTATAAAAACCTACAATTTGCCCTAATATAAATGGTTTTTTCATAGGTACAAATTCTGCAAGATTATTAACTTTTCTAAGTGATGGTTTGGCCGGCGGGTGCTCCCCCCTCTTTCGTTCTCGGGTTGTGGTTTGGTTTTTTTTCCCCTTTCTAGACCTGCCGGCGCGCCACCGTTCGCCCCGTCCCCCATCTTTCTTTGTCGACATATTACTAAAATTTAAAATATCACACACTATTATGAAATTTTGTCAATTACTAGAACTTTTTATAATTTCTATTTTTTCTGATAGCTTAGTCACATTAGCAAACACCTCATTTTTTTTTGAATATTTTTATAACACGTTATATAAGAACTCTGTGAGGATCTTTATATCATTCACAGTTATGTAATTCCGATAATATAATCTCTACATTTAATGTTTTAAAAGATATTCTTGGCCGCGTGCAGTGACTCACGCCTGTAATCCTAGCACTTTTGGGAGGCTGAGGCGGGCGAATTGCTCAAGGCTCAGGAGTTCGAAACCAGCCTAAGCAAGAGTAGGATCTCGTCTCTACTATTAAATAAGAAGAAATTAATTGGCCAGCTAATATATTAGAAAAAAAATTAGCCAGCGATGGTGGGCGCAGTGCCTGAGCTCCCAGCTACTTGGAGGCTAAGGCAGTAGGATTGCTTAAGCCCAAGAGTTTGAGGTTGCTGTGAGCTAGACTGATGCCACGGAACATCACTCTAGCCTGGGGCAACAAAGCGAGACTCTGTCTCGCAAAAAAAAAAATTTAAAATAAAAAAAAGATAAAAGAGATATTCGTTTATATCACTGCTAACTAGGTTATGTCTTAGGGACGACAATTACGTTTCCCCTTTTTCTTCTTTTTAAAAAAAAGCGCGTAAAAGTAGGACTATTTATAATTCAATAACTATATAAACAGCCTTTAATGTCATTTGTTTTTTTATTTTTGAGACACAGTCTCACTCTGTTGTCTGGGCTAGAGTGCCGTGGCATCAGCCTAGCTCATAGCAACCTCAAACTCCTGGACTCAGAATCCTTTCTGCCTCAGCCTCCTAAAGTAGCTGGGACTACAGGCATACACCAACATGCTGGGCTAATTTTTTTTATATAGTTTTTAGTTGTCCAGCTAATTTCTTTATATCTTTAGTAGAGATGGGTCTCGCTCTTGCTCAGGCTGGTTTCGAACTCCTGAACTAGAGCGATCCTCCCGCCTTGGCCTCCCAGAGTGCTAGGATATACAGGTGTGAGCCACCGCACCCAGCCATAATGTCATCTTAAATGAGAATGAGGAAATTTTTTTTGAAAGCCTAGAACACTGCAATAAGCATACTGAAGCACAAAATATACCAATTCTGGTACTATTAATATTATAGCCAAGTATTATAATCTTAGGCTTATATGATTATAATGGTTTATGTAAAATTAAATCTTAAGCTTTCTGCAGACTGAGAAAGTAAAAAAAGGAAATTTTAAATAGATATATAAAAGGCAAATTTTGTCCAGGCCCAGGAGTTTGAGGTTGCTGTGAGCTAGGCTGACACCATGGCACTCACTCTAGCCTGGGCAACAAAGTGAGACTCTGCCTCAAAAAAATAAATAAATAAATGACAATTTTTTTTTTAAAGAATATAAAAATTAAGTTAACTCTTATAAAGTTCATAAGATTATAAGATGTCTTAAAAGTGGATTCAAATTTAATTAATGGGCTATGTAACCAACTAGGAAAAAAATAACTATAATCTTTTCTTGAAACCACATAACTTCTCCTCTGAATTGTTTTTAAAGAATTTAGGAACTAAACAACTATATGCAGGCTAGTTATCGCACAACTTACATTTGGCTAAACACTAACAAAAAAGCTGTTATCCCATGTTATCAACTTCTAGTGGTAACTTTCAAATATTTAGAATTTCAATGACTTTCTCAAATAGTAAAAGCACCAGAGATTTAAATGCCATCAAAACATTCTTTAAGGAGTGCTCAGGAAAAAACTACCGAAAGCCAAATTTTACATTTTAGAAAACATGAATAAGGAAGGATCTAGCCCAGAACAGATGGGTATGTGTTACAATGATTCTCAAACTTTAGAAAACTGGGGGGGAAAAAATCCTTGAAAATATGCTGACATTTGAAAAATACTAAATTGACAACTACCCTGCTATCCAGTTAATTTTGATTGAGAATGGAAGAATACCAATACTAAGAAACAGAAACAAATATAGGAAACAAGTAGTGAGCATTAAAAAACCATGCTGTTTTTATTTCTCTAAGAATCTTACCACAATTACTAAAGAAGCATAAAATTGTATTTTACTCAATTAAAATCACTTATGGAACATCTCTCAGATTCACCTCTCTTCCCTCTTTGGGCTAAGGACAGAGAAAGTGACTTTTGTGGTCAACCCAAAGATCAGCTGAGCAAGAGCGAGACCCCGTCTCTACTATAAATAGAAAGAAATTGAATTGGCCAACTGATATATATATAAAAAAAAAAAAAATTAGCGGGCATGGTGGCCATGCTGTAGTCCCAGCTACTCGGAGGCTGAGGCAGAAGGATCGCTCCAAGCCCAGGAGTTTGAGTTGCTGGTGAGCTAGGCTACGCCACGCGCACTCACTCTAGCCGGCAACAAAGCGAGACTCTGTCTCAAAAAAAAAAAAAAAAAAAAGAATAAAAGGGCTTGAACTGCAAGTCAATCTCTGCTTACTCTACCTCTCATGGCAAATAACATGGAAAAAACACGTAAGATCAGTAAATGAAGAATATGTGTCATCTTAAAATATCAATTAAGCTTATTTACCTAAAATAATTTCTTTAAATAACAACCTAATTGATGAATATATTTTTGAGGTAAGAAAATAAATACTTAGGATTGACATAATTTTATACTATTGCCACAGAACAATACAAACTTTTGCCTTTAGCAACTTCACATAACAATTGAAGGAGACTAAAGATTTATAAGATTTCTACAGTAAGATAAAATATGAAAACTAGCATATCAGTGACACAATTTATAGGACAATCTTTTATAAAAATTATATAACTAAAATTTGAGCAATCCTTTTCTATTAATATAATAGAATTACAGCAAAAGAAATGTCATGTAGAGCTTGAAGTACGACAATGTCATACTGTATGTGAATGTTAACATACTACATAAATAACACCAAGAGCAGTAAATATTGTCAATAGTAGAAATTAAGATTGCCTGTAAAATATTTCTTGATTCCAACTGTGTACCAGAGTTTCGTGTGTGGCCATGTTTTTGTTTCTCTTGGAGATAGACACACCACACCCTAGGAATTAAATATATTGTATATAATAACACCTAGGATGGTAATTCTATATTTAGCATTTGAGAACTGCCACAGTTTTTCAAAATAGTTATGTTGTACATTTCCACCAGCAATGTTTGAGGGGTTCCAATTCTCCACATCCTAGTCAACACTGTCTGATCTGGCTCGTATAACCAAGTAACAGTCAGTGGCATGATCAATGCAACCTCATCTCATGGGCTCAAGTGATCCTCCTGGCTCAGCCTCCTGAGTAGCTAGGACTAAGGTATGCACCACCATGCCAGTTAATTTTTCAATACTTTTTGTAGGAGCTTGAGGTCTCACTATGTGCTTAGGCTGGTCTGAGTTTCCTGGCCTCAGCAAATCCTCCCAGCTAGGCCTCCCAAAAGTGCGTGGGATTACAGTGTGAACCAGTGTACCTGGCCCTGTTCTGAATTTTTTATTAGCAGCATCGTAAGTAAGTGTGAAAGTGGTATCTCCACTGTGATTTTTGATTGTATTTTTCTTATCAATTATATTGTTGAAATCTTTCATGGGCTCATCAGCCATGTATCTTCTTTGGAGAAATGTCCGATTCAGAAAATTTGCCATTTTTTAATTTGGCTGTCTTTATTATGGAGCTGAAGATGTTTTTATACAAGTCTTTTATTAGATATATGATTTATGAATGTTTTTTCCTCCTATTTGTAACTCGTCTTTTTACTTTCTTGATGGTATCATTTGTAGCAAAATTCTTATTCATGTTGAAAAGTTGTTGATATTTTTTTTTAAAATGCCCTGTTCACACAAAGGAGAAGAACCAGGTTAAAGTTGGATATTGAAACAAGTGAGGCCATTATGACCTATTCACTTGTCCAGAAATATTCTAGCCAAAACACTGTTATCAAGAGACAAGAAAAATATTTACGTTCTTTCTAGAGGTGGAGATTTTTCAAACTTAAGTCCTGATAGTTACAGAAAATGACAATGAAACATTCATGTAAGAGTTTCCATTTGAGACATCCTTTGAGTAGATTCGCAGGGGAGGTTATAGTTGACAAGACCTAAGAAAAGGATAAACTTCACTACGTTAATACAGGTTAGAAATGAAATGAGAAAAGGCAATCAGAACAGAATGCAGAAGTAAGAACTAACTCATTTCAGATAGCTCAGAAATGATTAAGAACGACTAGAGATCCATCTAAAATCAGAATAAATTTATAATGCCAGCAAAGCATAAAGGCAACAACGCAATGCCTTCTCTTTATGGGGAAATTTCCAAAGGGTTGATTGCTTAAGAACTTAGCATCTTAACAAATTTTGATAGGAAATCTTTTTAAACGTTTTTTT